CGGCCAACTGGGTGGCGTGCGCGCGGCGCGCCGCAACCATCGTTTTCGCCGGCGCGCGGAACAGCTTGCCTGGCAGCCCGTCTACCCCGGCTGTGGTCCTCGTGGCCCTCTCTTGCTCGCCCAGCGAGGGGGTGCAGTCCAATTCGGTCCCTCGTCCGACGCCAGCCCCATCCTGCGCCGCGACCTGCGCCCGCGCGTGGAGCTCGTCTACGCTGACGTCCGCTGCGAAACCCACCGGGCTGAGATACTGGATCCGCCTGTTACCCATCTCCCGAAAGACATGGCGCGCGCGCCATCCAGTCGCTTGACTACGGGCAGGCACATGGTCATCGAGCCCTCCTGCGCGCCGACGCCAGCGCCCCTGGGCCCCGCGAAAACCACGTCAGCTTGGCGCGGGCCCCAAGCATCCCTGATGTCGCCCGCGATGCGCTTGCGCTGGCCCCATCGCACCCTGACGGCGGGAAATCAGGAGCATGGGGCCCTGCAGCTCCCCGCGCCTCGCGCCCGGGGCATCGCTGCCACCCTTTATCGACGCCACCATCCAGAAAAGCGGGGGGAAATCGCGATTCCGGGTGGCACCACCCTGCTGGATCCAGTCAGACAGCGCTCTGGCCGACCAGGCCGCCAAAACTCGCGGAAGAAGCGTGGATCTGGCCAGGACCTTGCTGGCTGTAGCACCTGGCCGCGCTGCCGCTTCTCGCCGTCGCTGCTGGCGCATGGCTGCGCGACGGCCCTGCAGGCCCCGCGCTGGCGCATCTTCCTGCCTCCTGCCAGCCGCCTTCGCCGTGGTCCGGCCATTCCTCCGCGCTGCTGGAAGTGACCGCGCCGGAGGTATTCTCCGCCACAGCAAGCGCCACCAGGAGCGAGCGGCTGAAGTCCACCTCCTGCGATGCTGCTAATTCCCACCACGACTGACCTGTCAGCGCGATCACTGCCGGCGCCGAGTCGGGGCCCAACCGAAACTTAAGTAGGCGCAGAACAACTGCCACGCGCAGCTGATTTCTCCGCGCGGGGCGCCTCGCGCGCGGCAGGCTTCGCGCATGTCCTCCGCGCGGGATGCGTCGGCTCAGAGATCTCCGTCTTCTCTGGGTCGGTGAGCGCGGCGCCCGACGATAGTGAAGTTGACGCACTCGCACCCGGCGCCGTTGCCAGCGCGCCAGGGCCTTCGTCATTGGCCCTCTTGGCCCGAGAGGCGGCCGACGAGATGCCGAGGTGCGGCGCGACCCGACCTAGCCCCCCCCCCCCCCCTCGTCGTCGCAGCGCGCTCCGGCGGGCGCCCAGTGGCCAGGAAGCTCCCGAGCAGCGTCGATCATCCGCCTGAACTCGACGCGCGCCAGCTCGAGCACCCTCACGAGGCGGGCCAGCGTCGCTGCCCGAGCTAGCCCAGGCGCCGAGCCCTGTGCATCTAGGCGTCGCCTGCTCGTGCTCCGCACCTCCTCGATCAACTCCTCGGCCAGGTGCCTCAGGGATCCTTCGCCCCTCGCTGCGTCGACCAAGCCGCTATGCACGGGCAGCTGCAGCACTTCCATCACGTACATGGACTAGTGCTCCATCCACGACCTTTGCCCCTACTCCGCGTCGTCCAGCTGGGGGGCCAAGTTCGCCGCCCTGTCCGTCACGCAGCTGCTGAACCTGGTGTCCGCTGCGCCCGTCCGCCACCAGGGGGGAAGGCGGCCTGCGCGCGTCGTCGGGCTCGACATTCTCAGCTCTGGCGACGAAACGGAGGGGGCGGGTGGGCATTCAGGGCGGCCCCGTCGCCGTCGTCGTCGTCCACTGCGACGTCGCTGACATCCTGAGGTGCCTGCTGGGGCTGGCGGGCAGGCGCCTGAACCACTACGATATTCTGGCCTTCTCGGTCCCTCTGCATCCTGGTCGGCCCCTCGCCAACGTCGGCTGCCGCGCGGAAGGGCAGTCTGCGCCGGCCTGGGGCGGGCTCGCCCGCAATGGTGCTGCGCTGCTACATCTCACGAACTGGCTTGTGCGCAGGCGGTGCTGACTTGCCCGCGCCTGGTTTTGCGCTGGCTGTGGCTGCTGCTGCTGGCTGGCGCCGATGGCGCAACGCTGGCTGCTGCTGCTTGGCCACCGTTCAGCTTGCTCATAGGCTCTTAACGATCTCGGCCATGCAAGCGGCCAGACTGGCGACATGGCCCTCCAGGGTCACCACTCGGTGCTGATTTGCTGCAGTGACCGCCACAGGCTTGCCTACTGTCCGCGGCGGCTGCGTTGACTGCGTGCCCCGCTCGCGCAACATTGCACCCACGTAGCTATCTGTAGGGGAGTACCATATCCGAGTCCTTTCGTCAGTGGAATCTGGCGCCTCGTGCGGCGCGCATGCTGCCGCCGCTGGCGGTGACCAGGCGCCCGGCTTCGGGTTGGCACTGCTGGTCTGCCATCTCGGCCATCTGCACCATGAACTCGGTGGCGTAATCCAGGTCCCTCGGTGCCTTGGCCGCGTCCGCCTTCCATGCTTCGGCTGCCACTGCTGCTGCAGGTTCGGCGTCGCTGGCGGCCGTCAGAGCCTTCTTGGCCCTGCCGACGGAGCCCTCCTGATTCTCCACGCGCAAGTCGGTGTCCTTGGAATTGATCACCTGGCAGTGCAGCGCCGGGAACTCCTCCTCTGCCCTCCTGAAGTTCTAGGGGTTCGCGATGGGCATGTTTCGCAGTGCCTTGGCGTTTCCGGAAGCCGCTGCCATGGCCCTCATGGGCGCATCTCGATGCGCTTTCAAACCGGCAGCGATGGGAGGCGGCGTTGTCCAGCTGCGCAACTTGCGCGCTTGTGCTGGGAGCATCGGGGCGATGCTCAAGGGTCCAGTGGTCCCCACGCGTTCCTCTGCTGTCCTTGCCTCTGGCTGTGATGCCGCCTTCCCCGCCGCCTTGGCTTTGCGGCGCTCCTATGCAAAAAAAACCCTCTGAGCGCTCCTCCACCCAGAGCCACGCCACTTGTGGTGTCTGCCCTCCTCGTGCAGCTCCAAAGCCGCGACACGTCTCACGGGAGGCACATTGTTCTGGCCACGCTTCTGGTCCGAGCAGCGCCAAGTATGCTGCTGCCGTGAAGCTGCGCCACGCCTGCCGCCGCTCCACTGGCCAGACATAGCGCTGTTGCCGTGATGCGCCTGCACCACTTTGCGCGTTACCGCGATCCTCGCCAAAACTCGCGCGGCTGCGCGCTCTGATCTGGCGCGCCGATGCCGGGCTGGCTCTGCCTCGTGCGGCGTGGGGAGCCCCCTGCCGCGTGGCAGCAGCCGTGCGGCTGCGGTGGGCTCCCACGTACGGGCCGACGCGTCTGGCAACAGTCCCGTGCGACGCACGCAAATACTTGGTAGCCGCTCCCAGAACCTCGAGCCGGGACGGCGGCTAGGAGTAACGATGGGGGGAGGAGGGAAGAAAGCGAGGGAGAGAAGAGCGGAGGAAAAGGAGGGAGAGGGAGAGGGGACGAAGAAGGAAATGAAGGATGGAGACGTCGGGACAATAATGACTGGAAGGAGGCACGGGGAGCTGGAGAGGAGGAAGGAGCCTTCCCTCGCAAACCCGTGGGACCATCGCCCGCTCCACGCCATACTGCAGACCGCGCACGCGCGCAAGGAGGAGCCCCACACGCGGCGAAACTGCAGAACGATGCGCTGCTGACTGGGGGCCGGGCGGAAGCTGGTGGGGCTCGACATATGCATCCACAGGTGGCGACATCCGAACCCTGCCACAACCAACCATCGATTCTCCTGAATCGATGGGAGGCGGGGGTAAGATTCGGATTGCGCCACGTGCTCGACGAACTCCGAACCCTGCCCCCGCCGCCTATCGAGTTGCCTGGATCGTTGATCGGTGAGGGTAGGGTTCGGACTGCACCGCCGAGCCAAGTCGTCTGGTCGACCAAGTAGCTCGGTATACAGAGGTTCCAGCTCCCCACCCTGTGGGAGGGTGGAGCGTCTGTACTGCAGGGAGAAAAAGAGTACCGCGTCTGCAAACAAGTTTTCGGATTGACGCTGGACCCCCCTGATGGCGCCTCTAGCGCCGATCACAGAAATCCGCGCAGACCTCGTGAAAATTATGTGTGCTATTGCTCTTACTCAACATCCTTAGATCCGTGGCCAGCCCGGACCCGCATCAACCAACTTAAGGAAACCTGCGCTGCAACTGTTTTGGGGGGCTTCCCAAACCCTTTTCGGCCGACATGTATGGCCACCCCCAGCCAAACCCGGCTCGGCCCAAATCTGGCCTTGCAGAAGAGTGCAGGATCTGGCGCTCTGGCTGATCCCAGTTTGCGCAGAATCCGTTTCTTTTAGCAGGTGAGCGCCGCCACCAGAGATGGCCCCGGCCCAAGACGGGCAGAAGTTAACGGGGGCGATAAACACAGGGGCAACCGGGGTGCATGACCTTTCTTCACCCCGCGCTCATTGTTCTACGTTGCCTGCTGGCCGAGTCGAGTTGGCCCAAGGCGGCCCCTGATTTTCTGGGGAGGGCCAGGTGGCCTCTGGAGCACCAAGGGGCTCCACCATGGCTCGAAGAGCTGGGTGCTCATTGAAACCAATACCACCTCCGGCAATACCCGAAGCTGGGCTGCCACCCCCGTCCCGACTGGAATGCGTCCCATCTGGCCATGCTGAATGCGAGCTGAAGGTCGGAGCTGATAGTCGAGGGCGGCTGGGATAAGTGGGGTCGGAGAATCAGCCTGCGTAGGCCGCGGCCTTGCAGAGCACTACGGGTTGACCTCCTGACCCCCCCCCACTTGCTCACCCCAGCCCCGAGCGATGGGACAGACAGTGATTGAACGGGCGAAGGACGGTATAAAATAAACTTTTTCGCTGTCGGGGGCGCCTGTCCCAGGGCGGCTGGAAAGTTTATACCCTTACGGTGGCACCGTAGGGGTATAAACTTTCCAGCCGTCCAGGGACAGGCGCCCCCGACAGCGAAAAAGTTGATCTTATATCGTCCTTCGCTCGCTGAGTGATGAAATGATGGGACGGAAACTCGTACGACACAAGTGAGCTAAGACGGCGCGGCGCCTCGAGTACAGCTGACCGAGATGCCAGGGCGCCCATATGCGGCAGATGTTGTTGACGATCGAGTCTATGCCCTGCGGCGGGTGCTGCAGGGGCGCACTCATCGGAGAGCGACGCCATGGCGGAAGAAAACGAGGCGGAGGAAGCGGCGCAACAGGAAGATGGTATATTCATGATTCACTGCGCCAGTGGAGGACAGCATCGTATCGGAGGCAATGACCCAATGACCGCGGGTCTCGAAGCTCAGGCAGCATCACATAATGACAAACCTAACGAAGCGCAGCTCTGAGCAAGACGCACGACAGAACAACTCGAATAGGACCGCATCAGTATGACACCTATTTGATCCTGACCCATCCTCCGTCCCCCATCCTTGTGGAGGGCATTCGGCGGGATGCGGACGTCGGGCAAGTGGGTAGCAAATAGTATGCCGAACACCAGATGATCAGTGTGCTCGGACTTCTGGGAGAGATTCTCGAAGATCTCTATTTCAGAGCGACCTGGGCCGTGCCTGGGGATTGCAAGCAACGTTGAAATAGTGCTGCTTCTGCGCGACTGTGTCTCGCTTGCGAGGTCAAACGCAAGTAAATCCAGATGGAGGGTCGCTGAGGGAATTAACGGACTTGAACAGCACCCACGTGATGCTACTCGAGCCTCGCTTGTCGGACTCGCATCTTAGATCCCACGGGGCCATTGCTGTCCCTCACTTGACCCTTCCCCCGACAAAGGGAGAGACGATGACTCACAACCTTGTCAACAGAGGGTGGGGGCAAGGGAGCTGCCGAGCCAGGCCGAGGAGGGTCAAGTGTGTCCCTTTGAGAACTCTGGGTATCTCCCCTTGGGAGGGCTTCGACAATACGCCTGCACCGACGCTTGCCAGGCCAATGCTGGGCCTGGGATCTGTCTATACGCCCTCAAGGTTTAACCAGGAAGGCGTGTTCTTCTTTCCTGGGCCCAGGATTGGCCTGGCCAGGATCACTGGTGATGTGGACCTCACGATCCACAACAATCTGCACAGTACATCTCCATCCTCTAGCGGTCCGGACTCCGAAGGGCGATCCCATGGACCCGCGATCCCATGGATACGAAGACGTGTCCGCGCAAGGCGCCCGCCCAAGGCCGCCCTGCTATCCGTTGGGCCGTGACCGAGGAGCCCGAAAGCGAGGCCGTGGACACGAGGACCCGAGAATGAGCCTCGCGACACCACAGGTTTCAAGAAAAGAGGGTCCGGCCAGTGCGGGTTGGCCCCAGGGATGCGTCCAAGCAATATCCTCTCCCGGAGTCGCGGAGGGGGAGAGGGAGGGTAGTAGGCCAGCCCTCGCTCCTCCTCCTCCTCCTCCTGCTGCTCCTCCTCCTCCTCCTCCTCCTGCTCCTCCTGCTCCTCCTGCTCCTGCGCCTCCTGCTCCTCCTCCTCCTCCTGCTCCTCCTCCTGCTCCTCCTCCTCCTGCTCCTGCTCCTGCTCCTCCTCCTCCTCCTCCTCCTCCTCCTCCTTTGTTTTGAGCAGACTGCGTCAACGGTTTCTTTCGGAGGTCCGTGCGGATCTGTTGGGTTGGCGCTGGGCCACCCCGTGGCGGCGCCTCCAGCGCCGCCCGCCCCTGGCGCACGTCGCAAGCCACGGGGGGGGGTCAGCACCGACCCAACGAATTCACGCGATATCTTTAAATTTGTATGATGATGTTCTCTGTTGTGGCTCGGCTTCGGGCCAGGGATGGGAGCCCGACGGGGCTTGGCCGTTGGGGCCCGCGGGATGGGCCCAGGGGCGCGGGTGAGAAGTAAACGCGTCATGTTTGCTGCCGCACTCTGGCCACTGAGAGAACGACGATGCTCAAAGAACGCGACTGCTGGCTTACCCGGCGGATCGGACGAGGGTCTCCGTAAGAACCGAGTGCAACTAAGCCCCGCTGCCCTACGGTCGTCGCGATACCACTAGCACCGCCGAATAAGAGAGGAAGGGGCTTTCCTGGCCACGGCGAGCCTCGGCTTTGAATCAGTTCCCGGCCTAGATCTGAGGAGCGGCCCGAATGCCAAGGCGGAAGTCGGGCGTGTCCCCCTACAGGGGGATTTTCGACACAACAACAAAAACATACCTCAAAAATGCCCCAAACTGGTCAAACAAATGCTCTAAAATATTCCCCAGACTAATGTGTGACTATTTTTGAATATTCATCCTGTAGAGGGACAGGCCCGACTTAAGCCAAGGCCCCTCCTGAGCCCGAAGTAGTCCTTATTTCAGCGTCTTAGATGCACCAAGGTCGCGACATCCGAAGCCTGCCCCCAACAACCATCGATTCGTGTGATTCGATGGGAAGAGGGGGTAGGGTTCAGATTTCGCCCCGTGTTCGACGAATTCCGAACCCTACCACGCCGCCCGCCCATCGAGTTGCCTGAAACGTTTATCGGCGAGTGGGGTTCGGATTTCGCCGCCGAATCAATCCAGGACAGCCGCTCAGGATTCGCGGCAAGGGTCCACGAAGCCAGCTGGGCGCGGCCGAGCACCCACCGGGGGTTCTGGAGGCCAGGAGTGACGTCGTCACGAGCGGTCCCAACCAACCTTGAGGCAGACCTCCTGTGCATCGAATTCTTGCAGACCTACTGAGGCATCGAATGCTTGCAGACCTCCTGAGGCGGTAACGGATCCGCGCTCCTGCAGAGGCATCGAATACTTGCAGACCTCCTGGCAGACCTCCTGTGCACTCCAAGGGTGTGAGCAGGAGCGGGCGATGCCGACTGGGGCGGCCTTCGAGGAAGGCGGGGAACTTCTTTGCAAGGTCGGTAGGCTTCTTTGGATCCGTCTTACATTGTGGGAGGGCTTCTACGCAGACCCCTGCCTTCTGAGAAGACACCCCCCTCTGCGCCGCCCCTTACACGCGCAGCCAACCCATCTTCCTCCTGCTGATACTGCTCCTCCGCCTCCTCCTCCTCCTCCTCCTCCTCCTCCTCCTCTTCCTCTTTCTCGTCCTTGCATTCTCCTTCCCTTTGTCGCTTCCCCTCCCGCTGGGCGAGGAGGCGCGCCAGCGCGACGCCGCGCTGCGTCGGGGGCACGACCCTCGCCAGCACGGTCGGGATGAAGGCGGGGAACGAGGCAACCCCGAAGCCGTAGATGCCTCGTCCACCGCACGCAGGGCGGCACAGGAACGAAACACGGAGCGGGCCAAAAACCGCGGGGGTCCGCGCAGCTTTCTTTGGCCGGCGCTGGACCCACGAGGGGTAGCTGCAAGGGGGGGACGGGCTCGGGGGGCGGAACATCGACCTGGAATCGGCGATGCGTCGCTGGCAGATCGGCGATGGAGCCAGCGATAACAGATCCGCACGCTCCTGGGATGGGTCCGCTAACAGGCCCCCGCCAGCGATCAGTGGGCGATCGGGGATCCATGCTCCTCCCCTGCGGCACTCCGAAAATTGATACCTATGTGCAGTCATCGTGCTGAGGCGAAGCACGCAGAATAAAGAACGAGCGGGCTTTCCTGGCCACTGCAAGCCTCGGCCACGAGGCCACGAGGAGGCTACGGCCCGAAAACCAGAGCTCCTCCTGAGCTCAACGAGGTCCTTGTTTCAGAAACTCGAGTGTAGTCTGTCGTTCTTCGGGAAGGAGGAAGGAGGAACAGCAAGGGGGTTTGGACAACGACGCAGGCTTCTGGAAACGGTGTCAACGCAAGCACCCATGCAGTGATAAGGGACGAGCCGCAGTGGAGGAGAGACGACGACGAGGGGGGCGATGAGGTGGACGCTGGCGACGGGATAAGATGACCACGAAGAGGAGTAGAAAGTCCGGTCACCCACGCCCACTCGCGCGGAGACAAACATCTGTGCGGAGGGCCATTGGGTTTCAAAATTATGCCTCCAGCCTGGAAGGTAATACCTCGACGGTGGACCAGCAGCATATCAGGAGGGGACCAAAAGCAAAACTGAAAACGGCCACATGAGCATTGACGGAGGCAACGACATGATAGAAACGGAGACGGAGACCGCGAATATCCGTCTTAGTCTCCGTCTATGTCTCCGTGACAGTCTCAGTCCGAGACAGACAGGGAGATGAAGACATAGCCGAAGCTAGAGACACATGATGATACAGGCGGAGGCAGATACAGAGACGGAGACTCAGATGGAGGCGCGTGTGCCACAACGTTCGTGAGCACTACCGCACCCACGATGCCTGTGAGTGCAGAGGTGACGGTGCGAGCAAGCATGCCCTGACGGCTCCCCGTGGATGTCTCTCATAACAATATAAGACGTTGTTGTTCCTTTTAAACCCGTCATGTTTTATGTGCGTGTTTGGCTCCGCTTTGTTTCCGTTTGACCTATATGAACGTTGTCTTGTCCGTTTCCGTCGCCGTCTTCGCATAATTTCCAACCATCCTGTGGTGTTGGGTCGTCGTTTTGAAGAGACAACGCCCCGCGCTCCGTCCTTCCTCTCATCCTCCCTCCTCCCTCCCTTGCATCTGCCCTCCGCATGTATCCGTTTCGGCGCAACCCCTCACACGTTTCGTGGCCCCAAAGGGAGCTCCACCGAAGGCCCCAGTGGCAAAGTTCGCATGGCGGCCCCGCCCCGCTTCTGCGCACCCCTCACACGTTTCGTGGCCCCATAGGGAGCTTCACCTGAGACCCCAGTGGTACAGTTCGCATGACGGCCCCGCCCCATTTCGGCGCACCCCTCACACGTTTCGTGGCCCCATAGGCAGCACTACCGAAGGACCCAGCGGCAAAGTTCGCACGGCGGCCCCGCCTCATTTCGGCGCACCCCTGACACGCTTCGTGGCCCCATAGGGAGCTCCACCGAAGGCCCCAGAGGCAAAGTTCGCATGGCGGCCCCGCCTCACTTCGGCGCTACCCTCACACGTTTCGTGGCCCCCTGGTCTCCTAGGGTAGGCCTTAGGGAGCTCCACCGAAGGCCCCAGTGGCAAAGTTCGCATGGCGGCCCCGCCTCACTTCGGCGCTACCCTCACGCGTTTCGTGGTCCCATGGGGAACTCCACCGAAGGCCCCAGTGGTAAAGTTCGCATGGCGGCCCCGCCCCATTTCGGCGCTACCCTCACACGCTTCGTGGCCCTAGAAGAAGCTCCACCGAAGGACGCAGTGGCAAAGTTCGCATGGCGACCCCGTCCCATTTCGGCGCACCCCTCAAACGTTTCGTGGCCTCATGGGGAGCTCCACCGAAGGCCCCAGTGGCAAAGTTCGCATGGCGGCCCCGCCCCACTTCTGCGCACCCCTCACACGTTTCGTGGCCCCATAGGGAGCTCAACTGGAGGCCCCAATTGCAAAATTCGCGTGGCGCCAACGCCCCATTTCCGCGCACCCCTCAAGATGACCAGAGTGGGCCCAGAGGCCGCAGAGGGAACACACAAATCGCCATATCGAGCCCTCGCATGCTTCTCAGACGCCCCCGAGACCCTTCTGACGAGACCTCAAGAAGCATCCATTAGAACTCTGACTCAAAGACAAAACACAGTAGCGGGAAGAGCCGAAGGCCACACCACCACCACCACCACAGACCACCATACCACCACCACCACCACCACAACAACCACCACAACCACCACCACAACCACCACAACCCACCTACCACAACCAAACCACCACCATCACCACAAACC